GGCCACTTTTCCTCACTTGCTATAGGCTTTACTTGTACTGTGATCTATACATATACCTGCATGCTTTCTTTGCTAGGTAGAGATCACTGTGCTGTTTGTGTTGCATATATGCCTCTGCATGTGAACTGGCCTTGTGGCCCTTTGCTTGTGCTCAGAGTGTGTGGTGACGTTGTGATCCACCCTGAGCTTGCTTTGCCTTTCTTGACTGGTCTTGTGACCCCTTGCTCTCCCCCACTTTGCCTATGGGGGTGTGTCAAATGTCATATCTGCTACAGTTTGTTTAGGCTGTAGTGGGGTAGTTACTATGGGGTACAGTAAGTTTAGGGTTTCCTACTTGTACCCAACTCTTTCCTAGTGCACTCACTCTTGTTCATTCTGACACTAGTATGTGGTTAAGAGGGTGGCGAAGTATGTGGCGAGTACATCAGGCATGGGACTTGTCCTTGGAGGGAAGCAGCCAGTTACACTCACACGTTACTCGGACTCGTCGTGGGCCGACGACGCGGAGACGCGTCGGTCTACACAGGGGTACTCCTTTGGCCTCGAGGCAGGTGCTGTTTCGTGGCGGTCGACTCGGGCGTCGCCTGTCGCCGGTTCCAGCTGTGAGGCAGAGGTGTACGCTGCGGCCATGGCCGCTCAGGAGCTTCGCTGGTTGTCTTTCCTTCTCACCGACCTTGGTGAGCGGCCTCGCTCTCCCCCAGTCTTGTTCGCCGACAACAAGTCTGCTGTCCTATTGTGTGAGGAGCCCTGACCGGTTGGGAAGGCGAAGCACATCCAGCTTCGTTACTTCCTTCTGCGTGAGTTGCAGCAGCGTGGCCAGGCCCGCGTGGTATGTGTGGTCTCTGAGGCCAACACTGTAGATATCTTTACCAAGGCATTGCCGCCTTGTGACCACCAGCGTTTTTGCACCCAGCTTGGCCTTGTGCTTGCCCGTCCTCACTTGCTTACGTAGAGATGCCTTGTCCTGCATGTCTTGTTATTTGCTATATACCTGCATGTGGACTGGCCTTGTGGCCCCTTGCTTGCTCTCGGAGTGTGTGGTGACTTTGAGCTCCACCCTGAGATTTGTCTTGTTCTTGTGGACTGGTCTTGTGACCGTTGTTTGCTCTTGTTGTTTCTACAGGACTACCATCACCTAGACTATGGGGGTGTGTCAAACTATAATTCTATAGTTTGTGTAGTTTTAGTCTAGGTGTTCTCCCTTGTGTTTTTTTGTACTTGCACTAGGGTTAGGTTTTGCATATATCTTGTTTGTACTTTCTATTTTAGTCAATTTTACATTGTGACATGCAACCCATACATGTTTTCCATGCCTTCAACTTCAAATTCGTGACACCCCGCAACAGTCAAGCTGCGAAGCATCTTGAGCTGGCTGAAATCCTCAGGCAGAGCAGCCAGCTGCGTGCAGCCATCCAGGTTGAGCTCCTTCAGCCAGCTCAGTTGTCCAGAGTGGACAGGCAGGGAGCATATGGGGGCACAGCGAAGGTTCAATTCATGGAGGCAGGAAAGCTGGGTGAGAGAAGCAAGGAGGTGGGTGAGCGATGAGCAGTTTTCGAGATTCAGCTGGCGCAGTCGGGATAACGCCCCGATGCCGTCCGAAAGAGAGGAGAGCTTAGGTGCATGTTAGGGATTGAAGGTCGGTGAAACTATCTGTCAGCTCAGTCACCTCCGCAGCCCGGTGTATGTGCAACCGCCTCAGCTGCCGCAAGGCCGAACCTAACCCTTCTGGAAACATCCTCATGCAACCAGTGCTGTGAATTGTCAAGCTGCGGAGGTTAGGAAGAATTTCCAGAGGCAATGGAAGGTCCTCTGCCTCTCCAGCCAACGCTACCTCTAAATTCTCCAGAGAAGAGAGGGACATGCCCACAGCCAGCCCACGCACGAGCCCAACACTAGTTAAGCTCATTTTTCTCAGCCTGGGCAGAGAAGGAAGCTCCAGTAGAGGGGTGAGCCGCTAGGAGCTCCCTACGGAGAGAATCTCAACGGAGCAGGGCAGGGATGCTGATACTTGTGGTAGCTGGGGGAGCTTGGCTAGAGCCAACTCTTTCAGCCTCCCCAGGCTGCTCAAGCTGGTGGTGATTGAGGTAAGGCTGTCGTAGTGCACAACTTTCAGAAGCTTAAAACCCGCAGCCTGAATTACAAAAAAAGTTGGGAGGTGTTAAAACCGGAGTCCCAAACAGCCCCAAAGTGCCTCAACCTTCCTAACTTTGAGAAGGGGTGACCCAGTAGGTGCGACTCACTTCGCAAATCGGGGGGACAATTTTCGTCACGCGAAACTACTGTTCTAGTGAGGACGAAAGCAGTGACGATTTCGCCAACATATTTGAAGCCCGTCCGAAACTGTCTGCGAACCAGTTCTGACGTTGCATTCCAGATCTAGTTATTTTTGCGAAATTTTCTTCCTTTGCGACCCCAGACCACAATTTCGACACCACTCTGGCTCGCGAGCCAGTCACCTTTCTCTCCCCTTTCAACCTTCCTAAGAAACTCTTGGACCTCCGGTTCACCTTCCCTCCCGAACCAGGGTGGTTACCAGTTGTTCACCTGCAAAACGTGATGAAGTCGCAGGCAGCGAAGGGAAGTGTCGCTCGGTTCCTGCGCAACCACTCTGGCGTTGGTGTGCACACCAAACTGGAAACTTGTAATTCAGGTCGATAGAAACTGCCTAGTCCGATCAGCACCAGCGGCAGCCATATCTTAGAACAGCTACGCTCCAACCTCATTCCAGCCCCAGGCCTCTTAGACCCGCCTTACTCGTTAGGACTAATACTCCATTCCGTATGTGCCAAATATATATCTTTCCCCGATTTTAGCCTTCCCGCTTCTACTCGCCCACGTTGCACCTCCCCAATGCCCACCGCATCGATGTCGCCCCTGTTCATAGCCGCGGCGTCCTCTCCGTCCGCGTTTCTAAGGTTTATCGACCTACTTCGGCGCATTCGCTTCTTCTCCCCGTAGTCCACACTCGGTCCCCTTCCGTCCCACACACGCACTCCCCTCCATCGCTCACGCTGCCTCGCGAGACAGAGCACGCTCCCTCCCCTCTCGTCTCCTTCGCGCAATCCCCATTGTCGCGTATGCGCTGTTCCGTCGCGGATTACAAATCCCATCCCGTCGCCCACGCGGGAGCTCCGAGACCGGTCACGCACACTCCCTTCCGTCACCCACGCGCACTCCGTCAGTTACCTCGGCCCACGTGCACTCCCTTCCGTTGGCCACGCTCAAGACCTTCCCGTCGCCCACGCTCACTCCCTTCCCATCGCCTACGCGCAATCGATCCGTCGCCCACTCTCAATCACTTCCCTCGCCCGCGCTCGCTCCCTTCCCGTCGCCCACGCTCACTCCCTTTCCTTCGCCTTCGCGCAATCCTTACATCGCACAATCTCCACCCCCGCTCGGGGCACACGGCCAATTCCCTCTCGCCGCACGCTGCCGCCCGCGCCGGGCGCTCTCTTTCAATCTCCTCCCGCCGTCCACGCGCACTCCATCCCGGCGCTGCACGACGACTCCCCTTCCCCCGCCCACGCTCACTCCCTCCCGCCGCGACGGTCCCCTCCGTCGCACATGCTCACTCCCCTCCGTCGCCCACGCCCACTCCCTCTCGTCGCGTTCACTCCTCCCCGTCGCGCACGCTCTTTCCCCATCCGTCGCCCACGCTCACTGCCCGTACGTCGCACACTCTCACTCCCTTCCGTCGCCCACGCTCACTGCCCATACGTCGTACACTCTCACTCTCTTCCGTCGCCCACGCTCACCTCCCTCCCGTCGCCTTCGCTCATTCCCCTCCGTATCCCACGCTCACTCCCCGTCCCTCACCTCCCCATCCCTCACCTCCCCGTCCCTCACCTCCCCATCCCTCACCTCCCCGTCTCTCATCTTACCATCCCTCTCCTCCCCATCCCACACCTCCCCATCCCTCATCTCCCCATCCCTCATATCCCCGTCCCTCACCTCCCCATGCATACCCACCCCGTGCCTCATCTCCTCATCTCCTCATCCCCGTCCCTCCCCAACAATCGTGACGTGCAATCCCCCTGTCGTCCACGCGAACTCCCTCACTCCTGTCGCCCAGCTCACCATTCCGCCCCACCCGCCTCACCCCATCTCCGCCTCACCCCATCTCCTCCTCACCCCATCTCCTCCACACCCCATCTCCTCCTCATCCCATCTCCTCCACACCCCATCTCCTCCTCACCCCATCTCCGCCTCACCCCATCTCCTCCTCACCCCATCTCCTCCTCACCCCATCTCCTCAGGATAGGGTTAGTGTCAGCGCATGCAGCGTAAGACAAGGCAGCGGAGTAGTTCCAGGTGCAGTGCACCACCATCCCTCACCTCCCCATCTCTCCTCTCCCCATCCCTCCTCTTACCATCCCTCTTCTCCCCATCTCTCCTCTCCCCATCCCTCCTCTTACCATCCCTCTTCTTCCCATCTCTCCACTCCCCATTCCTCCTCTCCCCATCCCTCCTCTCCCCATCCCTCCTCTCCCCATACCTCCTCTTACCATCCCACCTCTCCCCATCCCTCCTCTCCCCATCCGTCCTTTCCCCATCCCTCCTCTTACCATCCCTCCTTTCCCCATCCGAACCTCTCCTCTTCCCTCCTTTCCGCATCCGAACCTCTCCCCATCCGTCCTTTCCCCATCCGATCCCCTCCCCCTCTCCTCCATGTGTTTCCCACACGGTCCTCGGCCTTGCGGCACCTCCTCATCCAGTGTGCACCGCCATCTGCTTGAAGCTCTGTGGGCGGCCCATCGCCCGCGCTCACTCTCTTCCCATCGCCCGCCCCATTCCCTTCTGTCACCCACGCTAAGTCCCCTCCGTCGCCCATGTGCACTCCCCTTGAACGAGCACGCTTGATCCCCGCCCGCCCTGTCACATCCCCTCACCCCGCCCTGTCCTATCCCCTCACCCCGCCCTGTCCTATCCCCTCACCCTGCCCTGTCCTTTCCCCTCACCCCGCCCTGTCCTATCCCCTCACCCCGCCCTGTCCTATCCCCTCACCCCGCACCATCCCAGGCAAGCATGACAGAGGCCCAGACGACCTGCATGGACATGCCGCCTCCGCTTGCTCCTGTTTTCAGCACCTCAAAGGCCCAAACGAGCTACATTGCAGAAGGGACAGCAAAATGGAAACACAAAAGACTAGAGCAATGGCTCGAGCTTGTCTTTTGTCCTGGTACTGCATGCTTATGTCATGTGTATTGACATCTCAAATAAAATATACATGGGTTTAGAAGCTTTACATCTTATCGCCTGATTTGTATACTGGTTTACTATGAAAGGGTTACAAACAAAACTAATAGAGGCTACCATAACAGCAGCATGAACAGCGGCTTGAGTACAGTATGAACATGTTGTAATATGCCGTTGGATGTCACAATGAGGGCACACAGCAGCCTCAAATGAAATCAAATCGTACTTGGTTGCTCCATGCTGCAAAGCAAAGCTCACAATCAGATGGAAGGTGGGAAGGACTGGAGAGGGAAATTAGAATCAGGGAAGGGAGGGAACGCAGGTGAGTCACAGGGTCGTGTAACCACCCCAGCCCTTCGAGTTACATGCCTGTTGAAGACAATAATAGGGTTGAAAAATGACAAGAGAGAGGAGGAAGGGCTGAGAGAGGGGAGGAACGGATGAGGAGTGAGGAAGGGATGATAAAAGGGGGGAGAGAGGAGAACATGGGGGGGATAGGAGGACAGGAGGGAGAGAGGAGGACAGGGGGGGGAGAGGAGGACAGGGGGGGGATAGGAGGACAGGAGGGAGAGAGGAGGACAGGGGGGGGGGGGAGGAGGACAGGGGGGAGAGAGGAGGACAGGGGGGGGTAGAGGAGGACAGGGGGGGGTAGAGGAGGACAGGGGGGGGAGAGGAGGACAGGGGGGAGAGAGGAGGACAGGGGGGGGTAGAGGAGGACAGGGGGGGGTAGAGGAGGACAGGGGGGGGAGAGGAGGACAGGGGGGAGAGAGGAGGACAGAGGGGAGAGAGGAGGACAGGGGGTAGAGAGGAGGACAGGGGGGGGAGAGGAGGACAGGGGGGAGAGAGGAGGACAGGGGGGAGAGAGGAGGACAGGGGGAAGAAACTGAGCGCAATCATGGGGGGAAACTGAGCGCAATCAGGGGGGGAAACTGAGCGCAATCATGGGGGGAAACTGAGCGCAATCATGGGGGGAAACTGAGCGCAATCATGGGGGGGAAACTGAGCGCAATCATCGGGGGAAACTGAGCGTAATCAAGGCTGGGAACTGAGCGCAATCACGGCTGGGAACTGAGCGCAATCAAGGGGGGGAACTGAGTGTAGTCTGAGAGGGGGGAACTGAGCGCAAAAAACTGAGCAGCGAGAAAGACATGAATTAGAATGATCGTTGCGACGTGGGCGGATTGGGAGATGATGCGACTGAAAACGGAGAGTGAGAAGGGGGAAAGTGGCCTCCGCAAAATCAAAGCAGCAGCTATTGAAGGGACAATAGGTGAACGAATGGGAAGCGGAGAGAAGGCAGCGGGGTGGAAAACCAGGGCGTCGGCGCGAGAGAGGGGAGTAGGCATGGGCGACGGGGAAAGGAAGAGAGGGCGAATAAGATGGAGACTCGACGAAGAGTCGGCGGCGGGAATGAGAACGACGTCGACGCAGCGACAGGTGGGAGAGCAGAGGTTGACGGGGCGAGCGATGGGGAGGGGAAGCGAGGGCGACGGGCGGGGGAAGCGAAGGCGACGGGCGGGGGAAGCGAAGGCGACGGGCGGGGGAAGCGAAGGCGACGGGCGGGGTAAGCGAAGGCGACGGGCGGGGTAAGCGAAGGCGACGGGCGGGGTAAGCGATGGGACGGGCGGGGGAAAGCGAGGGCGACGGGCGGAGGAAGCGAGGGCGACGGGCAGGGGGGCGGCGAGAGCGACGGGCGAGGTGTGGGCGGTGGGCGGAGACAGCAAGGGCGACGGTCGAGGGTCGCGAGGTCGACAAAGTGCTAAAGTCTCATCTCCTCACGCCCATTTTTTCCGTGCTTGACACTCGCGTCTTGCGCCTGTGTTTCCCTTCAATTGCATATACGCGCGGCACCTACTATTTCAGGTTGTGAAGATTGTAAAGTGAATCATTAGTTTGATTAGGGAAAGAAAGTGCATACCTAGGATGCAAGAGGAGCTTGGAAGGGAAGGGGGAATGTTGGGTGGTTGGGTAGTCCCTATGGCAACTTGCAAGGAGGGGGCACCCAACATGCAACAAGGACCATGTGGGTTGCAAGGAGGGGGGCACCCAACTTGTGGGTTGCAAAAAGGGGGTACCCAACTTGCACTTGGGGGCTCCAACACTTGTGGGTTAGGATTGACACCCCAACTTGCAGGTCTACACCCCAAAGTTGGGTGTAGTCCTACAAAGCAAGCTACACCCAAAGTTGGGTGTAGCCTCAACCCCTTTTATACTTAGCATGCTATACACACATTTCTAACACAACCCCTTAGCATGCTAAGACAAGAAGGGGACAACCCCTGAATCAAGGATCGCCCGGGCGAGCAAGGCCGATGAGGCGGAGGAGAGCAGAGTGCGCAGGGCGGAGGAGGGCCTTGGTGAAGATGTCGGCCAAGTTAGTATCGGCAGCAATCTTGCGCACAGCAATAAGGCCGCGCTGGACGAGCTCGCGGATGAAGAAATTTCGAAGTTCGATGTGCTTGGAGCGGGCGTGGTAGACAGGGTCCTGAGTGAGGTGGATCGTGCTGGCATTGTCACACCAGAGGGTGGGGCAGGGCTGAGGGGCACCAAGCTCAGCAAGAAGAAAGCAGAGCCAGCGGGATTCCTGAGCGGCCATGGTGCCAGCGTAGAGCTCGGCCTCGCAGGTGGAGAGAGAAACGGAGGAGGAGCGCGTGGAGCGCCAGCTGACAAGGCCGCTGCCGAGGGTGAAGCCATAGCCCTGAGAGGAGCGGCGGTCCGGCTGCGTGTCGGCCCAGGAGGAGTCGCTGAAGCCCGAGAGCAGGGGTGGGGAGGGGCCACCAAGAGTGAGGGCGTGGTCCTTGGTGCCGCGAAGGTAGCGGAGGACCCTCTTAGCAGCTTTCCAGTGCACCTCCATGTGGCGACCAGTGCCAACAAAGCGAGCGAGCACGCTGATGGGGTAGGCGAGGTCGGGGCGGGTGCACATCATAGCGTACATCAGCGACCCAACGAGCTCAGCATAGGGGCGAGTGGAGGAGGAGGGAGAAGTGGGTGGGGCAAGCTGGTGGCCAAAGGGGAGGGGGGTGGCCATGGGACTGGCCTGCGCCATCTCGAACTTCTCCAAGACCTGGCCGATGTAATGGGACTGGGAGAGGGTGATGGTGCGAGCAGGACGGTCGCGAGTGATAGCCATGCCTAGGTAGTGCGTGAGGTCGCCCAAGTCCTTGCACTTGAGGCGCTGCTGCAGCTGCTGCTTCATCTGCTCCATGTCAGCCTTGGAGTCAGCGAGCAGGATCATGTCATCCACATACACCAGAATGAAGAAGCGGCGAGGTGAGGAGCGAAAGAAGAGACTGGCGTCAGAATACGAGGCAGAGAAGCCGAGGGACCCCAGGGTGGCAGACAGCTTCGTGTGCCACTCCCTTGGCGCCTGCTTTAGCCAGTAGACAGGCCGACGCAGCTACCACACAGTGTTGTCTGGAAAGGCGGCGTGGAACCCGGGGGGCCGCCGGAGGAAGATGCGCTCGTGCAGGTCCCCTTGTAGGAACGCGTTGGAGACGTCCATGGAGCAGATCTCCATGCCGTCGCGCGCACCAACGTCGAGGAGGGTGCGGAGGGTGGGCGGCTTGGCAGTGGGGGCGTAGGTGAACCAGTAATCCTCAGCCCAGGTCTGGGTGAAGCCCTTAGCGTAGTAGCGGGCCTTGTAGACCGGATCCTCGCCCGGCAGCTGCTTCACCCGAAAGACCCACTTGCCCTCGACAAGGTTGGAGTCGGCCGGGAGGGGGACATCAACGAAGGAGTCGTTACGAATGAATGCCTCACACTCCAGGAAGATTGCCGCGATCCACTTGTCCGCATCAGGGCAGGTGATGGCCTCTTGGAAGGTGGAGGGAGTGAAGATGGTCGGGGTGGAGGTGGCGCCAAGGACGGGGAGGCCAAGGAAGTCAAGGAAGATGGAGGCAAGGAAAGGAGTGTGGTGCCGAATGTTGAGGAACTCCTCATGGGAGTCCTCAAGGAGTTGGATGGAGGCGGGAGGAGGGGCTCCAAGAATTTTGTCCACGGAGCGGGTATGCATACGAGGGAGGAGGAACGGGGAGGAGCGGGAAGTTGCTCGGTGTTGCTGCCGCTGCTGCTGCTGCTGCTGCCCCTGCTGCTGCTGCTGTTGCTGCTGCTGCTGCTGCTGCTGCTGCTGCTGCTGCTGCTGCTGCTGCTGCTGCTGCTGCTGCTGCTGCTGCTGATGCTGCTGCTGCTGCTGCTGCTGCTGCTGCTGCTGCTGCTGCTGCTGCTGCTGCTGCTGCTGCTGCTGCTGCTGGTGACCCGGCTGCTGCTGTTGCTGCTGCTGCCCTCGCTGCTGACCCAGCTGCTGCTGCTGCCCCTGCTGCAGACCCGGCTGCTGTCGCTGCTGCTGCTGTTGCTGCTGCTGCTGGCCTGGCCGCTGCAGAGAAGGGGGAGAGTGAGAGGAGGAGGGAGAGGGGGGAGGGGGCGCAGCTGAGTGGGCCGGGGAGGCGGGTGAGGCGGGGTCGTAGACGTCGGCAGAGGAGGACGGAGGGAGTGGAGCGGCAACAGGGGGGAGGAGAGGAGCAGGAGGGAGGAGAGGTGGGAGGACAGCGTTGGTCCAGGCGAGGGGGCAAGAGGGAGGAGGGAGAGGGTCAGGAGGAGGAGTGGAGTAGTAGGGAACAGACTCATCGAAGACGACGTCAATGCTGCGGATGAGGCGGTTGGTGGGAGGGTGGAGGAAGAGGTAGCCTGGTGAGTCACGATTGTGCCCGAGGTAGACGCACTCCAGGGCACGAGGGGCTAGCTTGCCAGCGGCGCGGGAGCGATCGGCCGGTGGGATGAGGACGAAGGACTTGCAGCCCCAAACGCGAAGGCCGGCAGCGTCAGGCTTGGCCTTAGACCAGAGTTCTGTGGGGGAGGAAGAGGGATGCTAAGGGTGGGAGCGGAGATTGAGGAGGAGGGCGACATGGAGGAGGGCATAGCTCCAGAGGGAAGGAGGGGTGGAGGCGTGAGAAATGAGGCAACGGGCAATGTTGGTGATTTCACGAATGCGACTCTCAGCAATGCCATTTTGCTGAGGGGAGTGGGGGAGGGTGGAGGTTTGCTGAATGCCACGAGTTTTGCAGAAGGTGGCGAGGGTGTTGTTGATGAACTCACCCCCACCGTCAGAGTGAAGGCGGCCAATGGGGCATTTGAAGTGAGTGCGGCACTGCTCAGCCCAGTTGATGACCACAGCCGGCACCTGGTCGTTGGTGTGAAGGAAAAAGACAGTGGAGTACCGACTCTGGTCGTCGACGAGGACGAGCACGTACCGGTGCCCCTGACGGGAGCGGATGGGATAGGGACCCCAGAGATCCATATGGACAAGGTCAATGGGAGCGGCAACAAAGGTGGGATGGCTGTGATGGGGGGACTGTTTGAGCTTGCCATGAATGCATGATGGGCATGGGGGAGCAGGGGAGGAATGGAGGGGAGGTAAGGTGGGAGGGAGGCTGTGAAGGAGGCGAGAGGTGACAGTGGTGCGAAGTGCGGCGAAGTTGGGATGGCCGAGTCGGTGATGCAAGATGACTGCTGGGTGGGAGAGGGCAGTAGAGGAGGAGGGGGATGGGGTGGGAGAAGAGGTGGGGAGGGAGGAGGAGGGGGGTGAAGTGGGGGAGGAGGATACCGGAGGGGGAGGGAGAGGGGGAGGAGGACCGGTGGAAGTACCAGCACGAGTGGTAACATGACAGAAAGAGGGACGGGGTGTGCGGAGCGTGTAAAGGCGAGTGCGAGGACAGAGGGGGATGCGCAGAAGGAAGCGACCAGAGGCGGTGTGATAGAGATCACAGTAAGTAGCAAAACCAGGGTAAATGGCAGTAATACCGACACCTTGGAGCTCGCGGTGAGAGAGGAGGTTATTGCGAAGGGTAGGGAGGTGGAGACCTGTGACCCTACCGGAAGGGAAAGCGGTGCAAGGGAGGGTGGAGAGGTGAGTGCATGGGATGGAGAAGCTGGAGTCAGCACCATGAACCTGAGTGGGAAGTGGAAGGGGGGTGAGGGTGCCAGCGTCTTTGAGTGCAGTTTCTGTGGCCCCACTGTCAAGGACAAAGTCCAAGGTGGGGGAGGAAAGAGGGGGAGGTGACACGGGGTACTGGAAAGACGTCTCATTGATAGCAGAGGATACATGGAAGCGACGGATGGTGCAACAGCAACATGACCAAGGAAACTGCCCTGAGAGTCAGGGACACTGGGGGGGGCAGAGGGGATGGAACCCCAGGGGGGGGGGAGCAAGGGAGGCATGGGCGGCCATGGCCGCTGTGCCGAAGGTCATCGGTTGCTGCTGCCACTGCGGCTGAAGGTACTGCGGCGGCTGCTGCTGCTGGAAGAACTGCTGCTGCGGTGGCTGCTGCGGCTGGAGAAACTGCGGCTACTGCGGCTGGAGAAACTGCTGCTGCTGCTGCTGTGGGAAGTACTGCTGCTGCTGGTGCTGCTGAAACTGCTGCAGGTGGGAAGGGGGGGAGGGGGTGAGCAGGCGGAGGTGAGCGGGGAGGAAGGAGGGGAAGGATTGAATGTCCACGAGGGAGGGGCGAGGGGTAACACTGTTCCAGCGAGGAGGGGCACCAGTGTTGCCGCGGTCAAACCAGGCGTCATCGAGCGCCTTGAAGCATGTGGCAGGGGGGTGGTTGGTCTGCCCATACGGCGTGCCGGCGTGGGGACCATGGCGGCGAACGTACGTGCAGGGGGGGAGAGTCCCAGGGCGACCTCCACGGATCACAGCTCCACCGGCACCCGAGGGACCTCCAGGAGTGGTACCACCAGGACCACCACCACCACGGCCACGGCCACCACGGCCACCACCGCCACCACCCCGACCACCACCACCACCCCCGCCCCCTCCACGACCTCCTCCACCGCCGTTGCGACCACCCGGGTTGCGCGGCTGCGTGGAATTGAGGGAGGTGGAGGAGGAAGGAGTGGTGGTGAGGTTGACAATGGGGGTGCGGAGCTTGACTTCAGTGTCAATGATCCACTGAGTCACCTCGGTGAGGCCAGCCAAGGGGTTAGCCTCGGTGAAGGCGTGCAGGCGGGACTCGTAGTCCGGCGTGAGATTGAAGAGCAGACGATGAATCTGCAGGGGCTCGGAGAGGGCAGCCTGTCGAGCGGCAAGGTGATCAGCGACCTCCTGCATGCGCCCCACGTAGTCGACAGCACCGTCACAGGTGACAAGGGTGATGGAGAAGTACTCCTAGAAGAGAACGCCGACGGAGCTGATGTCGCGGCGCTCGAACATAGACTGGAGCTCGGTCCAGATGAGGTGAGCTCGCATTTCACGAGCTTGGAAGCGGTGCATGAGGGCGTCAGGGAGGGCACCGAGGAGGATGGTGCAGGCGCGGTTGTCGGCAGCGGCCCAGGCGATGCTGTTGGGGACGTAAGTCGCCATGGAGGTGTTGTACTCTGCAATCAGCGCCAGGCGAGTGGCACGCTCCGACGTCACAAACTCGTAGTTGAGTACAGCAACCTCATGGTCGGCTTTGCGGATAAGGTACTCGCGGCGGTCGTGGAGGAAGGTGGCGTCAGCAGCGGCTTGAAGCTCGGTGGTATCGGCCACGCCCAGGTTAGGCTCAGGAGGAGGGGGGCCAGGAGCGGGAGGGAGAGAGGGAGGTTCGCCAGGGTGATTGGGTGCAGTCGGTTGGAGAGCCTGTGGACGGCAAAGGAGGACGTCGAGGACGCAGTAGGGTCCGACGAAGGCGTCCTGAAGGACGCGGCGAATGCTGCCGACAAACGAGTGCCAATTGATGGCGGATCGATCAGCAGCAAGCTGCAGCTTGTCGGCCGAGGAGGCGTCGATGGGAGGGGGGAGAGGGGCAGGAGAGGTGGTAGCCATGAGGGGCGACGGCGGGTGGACCCGCGGCGGCCAAGGAGGAGACGACGGCGGGTGGACCCGTGGCGGTCAAGGGGGAGGCGATGGTGGGTGAACCCGCGGCGGCCAGGAGTGGGGGGGGCGGGGGGGGGGGGAGAGTGCTGCTGCTGGGGCTGCTGCACTCCTCCGGCTGCTGCTGCTGCTGCTGGACCCCTCCGGCTGCGGCTGCTGATGCTGCTGCTGCTGCTGCTGATGCCGCTGCTGCCGCTGCTGCCGCTGACACTGCTGCTGCTGCTGCTGCTGATGCCGCTGCTGCCGCTGCTGCCGCTGACACCGCTACTGCTGCTGCTGATGCCGCTGCTGCCGCTGACACCGCTGCTGCTGCTGCTGCTGATGCCGCTGCTGCCGCTGCTGTAGCGGCTGCTGCCGCTGATACCGCTGCTGCCGCCGCTGCTGCTGCGGCCGAGGAGAGGAGAGAGAGAGAGGAGGGAGAGAGGGGGGGGGAGGGAAAGGAGGATGTAGTCGCAGGTGCCGTTGCTGCCGCTGCTGCTGCTGCTGCTGCGAGGAGAGGGGAGAGGGAGAGGAGGAGGGGGGAGGGGGGGGGGGAAAGGAGGATGCAGGCACGGATGCGGCTGTCGCTGCTGCCGCTGTTGCGGCTGCGCACCTCACGCTGCTGCTGAGGAGGAGGGGGGGAGAGGGAGAGGAGGAGGGAGAGGGGGAAGGGAGGGTGCAGCTGCTGCTGCCGCTGCTGCTGCTGCTGGGGGGAGGGGGGAAGAGGGAGAGGAGGAGCGGGAGGGGGAAGGGAGGGTGCAGTTGCTGCTGCCGGGGGGTGGGGGAGAGGGAGAGGAGGAGGGAGAGGGGGAAGGGAGGATGCAGCTGCTGCTGCTGCTGCTGCTGCTGCTGCGGCTGGTGCTGCCGCTGCTGCCGCTGCTGCTGCTGGTTCGGCTGCTGCTGCTGCTGAGGGGGGGAGAGGGAGAGGAGGAGGGAGATGGGGAAGGGAGGATGCAGCTGCTGCTGCTGCTGCTGCTGCTGCTGCTGCGGCTGGTGCTGCCGCTGCTGCCGCTGCTGCTGCTGGTTCGGCTGCTGCTGCTGGTGAGGGGGGGAGAGGGAGAGGAGGAGGGAGAGGGGGAAGGGAGGATGCACCTGCTGGTGCTGCTGCTGCTGCTGCGGCTGGTGCTGCCGCTGCTGCTGCTTGTTCGGCTGCTGCTGCTGCTGAGGGGGGGAGAGGGAGAGGAGGAGGGAGAGGGGGAAGGGGGGATGCAGCTGCTGCTGCTGCTGCTGCTGCGGCTGGTTCGGCTGCTGCTGCTGTTGAGGGGGGGAGAGGGAGAGGAGGAGGGAGAGGGGGAAGGGGGGGGAGGGCTAGATGGCCCGTAGGAGGAGGAAGCGAGGGTGGGAGGGGGAGGAAAAAAAAGGGGGGGGGGGAGGGGGGGGCGGCAGAAGCGTGGGGAAGATGCGAAACGCTCGTGGGAGCGGATCGGATGGGCGAAATGCCCGTGGGAGCAGAACGGATGGGTGAATTTTTCGCGGGAGCAGAACAGACGGGCGAAATGCCCGCGGGAGCAGAACTGGCGGGCGAAATGCCCGCGGGAGCAGAACTGACGGGCGAAATGCCCGCGGGAGCAGAAGTGACGGGCGAAATGCGCGCGGGAGCAGAAGTGACGGGCGAAATGCCCGCGGGAGCAGAAGTGACGGGCGAAATGCCCGCGGGAGCAGAACTGACGGGCGAAATGCCCGCGGGAGCAGAACGGACGGGCGAAATGCCCGCGGGAGCAGATCTGACGGGCGAAATGCCCGCGGGAGCAGAACTGACGGGCGAAATGCCCGCGGGAGCAGAACGGACGGGCGAAATGCCCGCGGGAGCAGATCTGACGGGCGAAATGCCCGCAGGAGCAGAACTGACGGGCGAAATGCCCGCGGGAGCAGAAGTGACGGGCGAAATGCCCGCGGGAGCAGAAGTGACGGGCGAAATGCCCGCGGGAGCAGAAGTGACGGGCGAAATGCCCGCGGGAGCAGAAGTGACGGGCGAAATGCCCGCGGGAGCAGAAGTGACGGGCGAAATGCCCGCGGGAGCAGAACTGACGGGCGAAATGCCCGCGGGAGCAGAAGTGACGGGCGAAATGCCCGCGGGAGCAGAACTGACGGGCGAAATGCCCGCGGGAGCAGATCTGACGGGCGAAATGCCCGCGGGAGAAGAACTGGCGGGCGATTGGGGGCGACGGTGGCGGTCTAGGCCACGGCGACTAAGTGGGGAAGGGTGGGCCCATGGAAGAAAAAAAACAGGAGGGAGGGGAGAGGTAAGGCCTAGGAAAAATTAGCTCTATACCATGTGAAGATTGTAAAGTGAATCATTAGTTTGATTAGGGAAAGAAAGTGCATACATAGGATGCAAGAGGAGCTTGGAAGGGAAGGGGGAATGTTGGGTGGTTGGGTAGTCCCTATGGCAACTTGCAAGGAGGGGGCACCCAACTTGCAACAAGGACCATGTGGGTTGCAAGGAGGGGGCACCCAACTTGTGGGTTGCAAAAAGGGGGTACCCAACTTGCACTTGGGGGCTCCAACACTTGTGGGTTGGATTGACACCCCAACTTGCAGGCCTACACCCCAAAGTTGGGTGTAGTCCTACAAAGCAAGCTACACCCAAAGTTGGGTGTAGCCTCAACCCCTTTTAGACTTAGCATGCTATACACACATTTCTAACACAGGTTGTCTGCGATGTGTTCACTAAAAAACCCTAGTTGGTGTGCGATGGTCGGATTCTAAAAGCGTGTGAATGAGTTGTTAGCTGTTCTGTCGCACCGATTTTCTTACTCTGCTCCAGTCCTCAGGATGTCGCCTTTTGTTTTCGCTTGCTCGCAACTTTCGCGATTCTTACAAACCTCACCCAACCCAACCCGAACCCAACCCGAACCTAGTGTTGACTCAAATATGTAATTCAGGCTTCGGGTTGACAAGATCAGTGAGAGAATCTGGAAGCTTTTGAATCTTAGAGCAGGACTGGATGATCAACACGCGCAAGCTGCTCAGCTTCCCAACGTCTTTTGGAAGTTGTGCTACCATGCATTCGATGAGCTCAAGCCTTGTGAGGGAGGACAGCTGCGTGAACGAGGATGGAAGCAGCTGCTGGGGGAGATTCTGTGTTAGACGAAAGGTGTGCAGGTTGGTGAGTGCGCCTATGTCGTGTGGGAGCTTCAGGTTCGGGGAGTTAAGGATGGAGAGGGTGTTGAGTGCGGTGAGGTAGCCAAACCTTGCAGGCAGCTCAAAGATTTCGTTGCAGTAAGACGGGTACAGGGTTTCCAGAGACGTCAGTTGGTAGAATGAATCTGGGAGACTCGAAATTGGCAGGTGGTTCAGCGTCAGCACTTTCAAAGCGGGCAGCTCTCCAAAGTTTCGGGCAGGCTGACCATGTCGCACAAGAAAATTTTCAGCTCACACAGGCAACTTAGGGAAGCGAACTCGCCGGGCAGCTCAGAAACATTCTCGCATCCCCATAAGGTCAGATGCCAAAGGCGTGGCAGTCGCTCTCCGATGTCATAAAAAAGACGGCCCATCTCTTCGCTGCCTTTAAGAAGAAGCCGCTCGAGACAGCTGAACGAGACTCCCGACGGAAACATCAGCAGCTCGAGTCGCGGACTGCACGCGTCCAACTGTCAGAACATTATAGCTCATGCATATTGTGTAGGCTATAGTGGGGTAGCCCATAAGGGGTACAACCCAATTAGGGTTAGTTTTTGTACCCAATTCATTCATAGTTCATTCATTCCTTGTTTCTTCTCATGGTATCGAGCAGGTTCCCTAGTGGGAACGCTTCCTAGGGCCCACCACGAATTTTTTTTTTCCTGCCCGGAGCGCGCTTCGCTCCCACAGTCGCGCCCTCTCACGACCCCTCACGGCCCCTCGCGTCGCCCTTAGCGGCCCCTTACGGCCCCTCGCGCCGTCCCTTACGGCCCCTAGCGCGGCCCCTTACGGCCCCTTACGGCCCCTTACGGCCCCTTACGGCCCCTCGCGCCGCCCCTTACGGCCCCTTACGGCCCCTAGCGCGGCCCCTTACGGCCCCTTACGGCCCCTCGTGCCGCCCGTCGGCCCCTCTACGGCCCCTCGCGCGGCCCCCTTACGGCCCCTTACGGCCCCTCGCGCCGCCCGTCGGCCCCTCGCACCGCCCTCAGCGGCCCCTTACGGCCCCTTACGGCCCCTCGCGCCGTCCCTTACGGCCCCTCCCGCGGCCCCTCACGGACCCCCCCCCTACGGCCCGTCGCCGCCCTCCGCGGCCCCTCGCGCCGCCCCTTCACGGCCCGTCGCCGCCCTCCGCGGCCCCTCGCGCCGCCCCTTCACGGCCCGTCGCCGCCCTCCGCGGCTCCTCGCGTCGCGGCCCCTCGCGCCGTCCCTTCCGGCCCCTCGTGCGGCCCCTTACGCCGTCCCTGCAGCAGCAGCCGCAGCCGTCGCCAGCAGCAGCCGCCACCACCTCCCTAGGGGCCGCGGCTGCTGCCGCAGCTGACTGCACCCGCCGACGCCGCTCCACTCGGCCCCGCCGCCGCTCCCCACGCGGCCGCGCCGCGCCACCTGAGCCGCCCGTACCGCCGAGCCGCCGTACCGCTTCTTGCTCTCCCAAGCAGTTGGGCCTCCACCAACACAGCATATGAAGCCTCCCACACTCGTCATGTCCTCTGGTTCTGATGCATATGAAGCATCCGAGTAGGCGGTGAGGAACAAACGCCCGGGTTCAACACCATCCGCGCCCTTTTGGCGCCTTTGTGCCGCCGCCGAGTATTGCAGCCCAACGGTCGGTGTTTGGCCAAGATACTTGGCCACCCTCATTCCAGCTGCTACCTGCTCCTCATTAGGGCATTGCACAACCCTAGCCAGCTGCCCGGTAGCAAACGCGACGTCCGGTCGGGTGTTTACCGCCGCATACATGAGGCTGCACACCAACGAGTGAAACCGGCGCCTCTCCTCTTCTCCAACGCTCTCCTCCTCTGGCCCCTTCACACACTTGAACCCAGAGGGAAAGGGAGTAGCCACATGACCTTCACTCTGGCCGAAGTTGGCAGCCAACGCCTCCAGGTACTTCCGTTGGTGCACTCGCATGCTCCGCTTCTCCACGTCTCGTTCGATGTGGAGCCCAAGGTAGAAGTTCACGTCACCAAGGGACTTGCACTTGAACTTGTCTTGCAGCTTCAGCATCACCTCCTTCACAAGGTCAGGAGAGGGTGAGAAGATCAGGATGTCATCCACGTACACCACCATGAAGCTCCTCTGCTCCCCCTCGCCAAGCATGAACAAGGAGTGATCGGCCGTTGAGGGAGTGAAGCCGATCCCCTCCAACACTTCGCGCAGCTTCATGTACCATTGCCTAGGGGCCTGCTTCAGCCCATAGAGGGCCTTCTTCAGCTTCCACACTCTGCCACTACCATCATCAAACCCCTCTGGCTGCGCCATAAAAATCTCCTCCTCAAGGATGCCGTTAAGGAATGCCGTTACGATGTCCATTTGCTTTACTACCCATCCTTTGATGGCAGCTCCCGCGAATAGGGTTCGCAGCGTCGTCGGCTTCACCACAGGGGCAAACAGCTCCTTGAAGTCCACCTTCTCCTTCTGCTGGTACCCCTTGGCTACAAGCCTAGACTTGTAGCGCTCGATCTTGCCGTCGGCATCCGACTTGATTTTGAAGAGCCACTTGGACGTTATCGCCGTACGCCCCTCCGGTAGCTCCACCAATTCAAACGTGTCATTCTCCTCGATGCTCTTCAGCTCACTCTCCATGGCCTTCTTCCACTCCTCAGCATCACTACTCTCCAAAGCCTCCTTGAGTGTTGCTGGTTCTCCCGGCATCTCCACCGGAGAGAAGAACGCGAAGGCACACTCCTCGTAGTCACTCTCCTCGTCGTCTCCGACCATCATTGCCGCTCCGGCCAGGGCTGTCTTGCCCTGCTTTCCCGGCGCATCATAGGTCAGCCTATTAGGGGGTTGAACTCTCCTCTTCCCCCTTCCTTCCTCCTCAGCTGCAGGGACTTGAAGGCCTTGACGTTGCTGCGGTGTGGCTCGAATCCGTGGAGCACTCGTAGTACGGGAAGGGAGTGACGGTGCACGCTCGCTCACTTGCTGCACCTCCTCCTCTTCTTCCTCTGCATCATTGGCCTCCTCTCCCCCATTCACAAGGGAGGATTGCCTTGTGGTTGTGCTGCCGCTGCTCAGCTCCAAAGGCAGCTCCACATGCTCCAAACCGGAACTCTTCACCTCCCCAAACCGCACGCCTATCTTCGCCTCATTCTCCGCCTTCCAATCCTTGTACATGAAGTTCTCCATGAACTTGCAGTCCCTGCTCACCAAGAACTTCTTGGTGAATGGGTCCCAAAGAAGCCATCCCTTGCTGTTTTGAGCCATGCCCAAGTGCACGGCCCACACCGCCTTGGCACCAAGCTTGTTGTGCCGAAGATGCTTAGGCACGAGCGCCATGCACATGCACCCGAACACCCGAAGCATATCCACCTTTGGCTTCCTTCCTAGCCACTCCACATAGGGCACCCATTTGTCTGCTCCCACATGAGTCAAGGCTCTGTTCTTGGCCACACACGCGCTCCGCACCGCATCAGGCCAGAAATAGTCGGGTAGCCCGGCTTCAATGAGCAACCCGCGTGCCGCCTCCGTGATTGTGCGGTTCGCTCGCTCGGCGATGCCGTTCATTGCAGGGGAGTATGGCATGGTGAGGGAGTGCCGAATACCATTCTTCTTCAGCCACAACCCAAACTCCTTGCTCAGGAACTCTCCCCCTCGATCGGTGCGGATTGACTTGACTAGACGGTCTTGTTGCCGCTCCACCATCGGGAACCAATCCGTCTTCAACGTTTCAGCCACGTCGCTCTTCTTGGCCAGCACGTACACCCAAGTCATGCGGGTGTAGACGTCGACAATGGTGAGAAAATACTCAGCTCCAGCAGCTCCAAGCTTCAGGGGGCCCACCACGTCCATCACCACCTCATCAAGCGGTGCCTTTGCCGTTGCCTCCGAACTAGGGAACGGAAACCGGGTGAACTTGGCTTGAATGCACGTCGGGCAGCCAAGCACCTCATCGGGCTCCCCCTTCACACGTATGCCAGCAACCATCTCATTCTTCACTAGCTGCTGCAAGATGGGCAGGGCCACATGCCCCATGCGCCGATGCAAGGTGAGCCAATCACACTCCCCCGTAGCCGAAGTTGGATTGGAGAATGCCGCGCTCGCAATAGCGCCCCACATACTCTCTCCGTAGTCCTCCTCCGCTGCTGCCTCTGGGTTCTCCTCACCCTTTTGCTGCTCCTTGGTTGCTGCACCACTCTCCTTAGGTTCACTGAACTTGCTGGTCCCTCCAGGTTTGCTCTTCTTGAGCTCATTCTCCTTAGCGCGACCGTTCGCGCCATCGTCGCTACCGACCGCTCCATCCTTGGTGCTGATGCTTGCTGCCACTTGCCTCTCCTTAGGCATAGGGACCACTGGGATCTGCCACATCTCGTTGTAGACATCCCTGTCCTCATGAAGGTCCCAAAGAATTCGATCGCCAAGCCTTGCGGTGTAGGTCTTGGCTCCCTTCGAGTTCGTGTCCATGCCGGCCTTTGCCAACCGCCGCACGGAAATCAGGTTTGCAGCAAGGCTGGGCACCCAAAGCACGTTCTTGAGGCCCACCATCTTCCCATCAGCACCCTTGAACATGGCCTTGCCCATGCCTTTCACCTCCGCTCGCTGCCCCAAAGCCGATGTGACATGCTTCACCGGTGACGGCTCGAGTTCGGTGAGCAAGTCCGGGCGAGGTGTCATGCTATAGGTAGCGCCACTATCAATCACCCAATAGTCCAGGGGGTGTAGGGTCACCTTCCCCACAGCTGCTGGCTCCTCAAAGCCTTCATCCTTCTCTGGACCAGCCGGTACTTGCGTCGACACGAAGTAGAATAGACCCGGGTATCGATCGTCGCTCGGGTCCTTGTCGTTGTCTCTGCTCTTCATGTTTGCAGCTCCGCCACCGCGACCGCCACGGCCTCCACGGCCTCATCCTCTCCCTCCTCCTGCTCCTCTACCCTCTTGGCCTTGAG